TGTATACATAACAAATGAAAAAATCTTTTTTTAAGAAGAAAGAAAGGCAGCTAAGTTTTGTTTCCCCATTCTAAATGGGGAAAATAAGTTAACTACAGTGCTGTTGTTTGGTGGTGTTAAAGATGAATTCTGCATGCAGCAGTGTGCATCGTGCACAGGATGGGCAGGGTGCATGGCTGTCCGAGCATTTGCTGGTAGTGGCGGACATCGTTTCCACCGTAGACCCGGAGCTTGTCTTTACACTTAACAGCTTTTCTCACGCTCTTAACTTTGGTTCCTCCAGGGATGGAAAATGATGACTCTGCAGTTCAGTATGCGATTGGTCGCTCTGATACAGTTGCCCCTGGCACAGGGATTGACCTGGAGTTTGATGCAGATGTCCAGACAATGTCGCCCGAGGCTTCCGAGTATGAAACCTGCTATGTCACTTCCCACAAAGGCCCATGCCGCGTGGCTACCTATAGCAGAGACGGGCAGTTGATAGCCACAGGCTCCGCTGATGCTTCCATAAAGATACTGGACACGGAAAGAATGTTGGCCAAAAGTGCCATGCCAATTGAGGTACCCTTCCCGCCTACCATTGCTCCAGACAGTGCAGCTGTGTGCTCGCCAGCTCTGGTGTGCCCGTGGGACTGTGGGCTTGGACCAGGTGCCTCTGTACCTTGAGCATCTATCTCTCCTTTTCTTGTTGGTCCAGGTCATGATGAATGAGACTGCACAACAGAACATGGAGAACCACCCAGTGATTCGAACTCTTTACGACCACGTGGATGAAGTCACGTGTCTTGCTTTTCACCCTACAGAACAGATCCTGGCCTCGGGCTCAAGGGATTATACTCTAAAATTGTTTGATTATTCCAAACCGTCTGCTAAAAGAGCCTTCAAGTACATTCAGGTTAGAGATCAGAGGAGCCTTGACTTTTATTTAGATACAGTATTTTATGGTCATTTTCTTAGACTCGGGTATTTTGTGACTTTTATTTACATACAGTATTTTATGGTCATTTTCTTAGATTCGGGTATTTTGTGACTTTTTCTGGTGGTCTCAGTGATCACCCTATAAAGGATAAGCCCTGGGTGCCACTTTCCCAGACTCCACTGGTGTATGGGTCACGGCTGTCCTCTGCCCAGGTAGGACTGCAGCTGGGCCAGGAGGATTGGCACAACAAGTTCATGACCAGCCTGCACATAGTCAATTCCTTGCCAACTTGAACTATAGTGTGAGACCCTGTCTGAGAAGCGGGGTTAGGGAGGGGTCACTTTTGTTGCGCTGTGGGTTCGAGCTCCAGGACTGGGAAAAAACGAAAACTTCCCTATAACTATAGCTTAAGTCACCAGTGTTCTCAGTTGGAACTGTTGAATGTTTCAGAAAAGCGACTTGTGGTCCCCTGTTGGGTCCATGTGCAGAAATGCTTGTGTTTTCAGAAGCGGTTTCCGTCATTCATTGGCTGCTTTTCCTTAGTATCGCTGCCCTTGAGCAGGTTAGAAAAGCTCTTTTTCACCTTTCACCACATGAGGGCAGCTCCCTTACTCCATTTGCAAGGGTCTGTCTGATTTCACCCTATGTTCATTCGCAAGTGACCTCCTGTCTAGTTTACGGAGTAACTGGCCAGTAAGTTTTCTTCATCCCGGGATGTGCATTTGTCCCCCTGCTGGTCAGGTCCTGGTGACTGACACTGTGCCTCTGTCCTCACAGGAAGCTGAAATGCTGCGCTCCATCTCTTTCCACCCTTCTGGGGACTTTATCCTGGTTGGGACTCAGCATCCTACACTCCGCCTCTATGACATCAACACCTTCCAGTGTTTTGTTTCTTGCAATCCCCAAGATCAGCACACCGATGCCATCTGTTCCGTTAACTACAATCCTAGTGCCAACATGTACGTCACTGGCAGCAAGGACGGCTGCATCAAGCTGTGGGATGGTGTCTCCAATCGCTGCATCACAACCTTTGAGAAAGCTCACGATGGCGCAGAAGTCTGTTCTGCCATTTTCTCCAAAAATTCCAAGTACATCCTCTCGAGTGGAAAAGACTCTGTAGCTAAGCTCTGGGAGATATCCACAGGGCGGACGCTGGTGAGGTACACAGGTGCGTGAGAAGGGATGCTGGGGTTTCCTAGGGATCAGATTCCTGAGGACTGGATATACTGCAGGAAAGGAGTTCAGAGAGGCCTTTGGCCCATCCCTAGGCCAATATAGGAAGCCCCTGGAAGAGATCACCAGTGTTCATGTATAAAGTAGACCCAGCAGATGGGAAGAAAAGAAAGCCAGCTCAGTTCCCCCATTAGTTACTGTTAGTCTCTAGTTTGTAGCATCTGTGCCCATGGGCTCCTTTTATGGTAAGTCTTGAATTTGCCCAGCGTGGTACTCAGTTCAGCTCTGGGTACAGAGAGTGCTATGTGCTGTTGCGCCTTATTGTGGTCCACAGCCCCTAAGAGTGTTGTTTGACAGGATCGTCTGGGAAGTTCCTCTCCTGTGAGATGTGTGTCTCACTACAGTAAGCACACCAAGGTTGTAGCTTGCAGGGTATTGTCAAGAAGCTCTCTGAGTTAGCATCTTGGAGAGGGACATAGAAGAGCTGGTGACATTCAAGCCACTAGGGTGCAGTACTGGTCCTCTCTGTGGCACAAGCTAGTTGCCTAAAGAGCCACTTTTGTCATTATCCTTGGTAACTTGGATACTTTATATGGTATCATTCTGGAAAGCATCTCTTAAAACCAGGTGCTCCTTGTATGCAGAAGCCACCAGAGAGAACGTGAAAATGTTCCATTCACAAGTGACAGTCCTGCTTTCCTGGGAAGATGCGCTAGGACAGGCATGAACTGGACTGCTACCAAGAGCTTGGATCTTTGTAGACACCTGATTTATTGGCTTAATTTAGTAGAGAGTTGCATTTTTTTTCCTGAAGGAATGTATACATTATGAATTTTCTAATTCCCAAGTCATCACCCTGACAGTTGGCGTCCTGACAGTCGGCATGCCAGGGTTTCCATTCTGGTTTGAAGACTTACTTAGAATGCAGAGTGGTTTTGAAATAGCGATAGAAAGGGGGAACCCAAAGAGGACATTGGATGTATTAAATTTATCATGTGTTTTTATATGTACTAGACATTTCAATATTCGTACTCTATAGCTAGGCTATGGATAGATAGGAAAAGGATGAGCCCAAACTTACAGGAAGAGAGTTAAAATTTCCAGTATTTTATAAGAGAAATTAAATGGAAAGTCGGTTATAAAATGCACAGCATTCCTGTAAATCCGAGAAGTAGAAGTGAGGCCGTCTTTCTTGACTCATCAAACCGTCTGTGACTCAAAGGGATATTATGTTGTTGGTGAGACATTTGACTGACGGGTCGTTTGGTAAATATTTCACAATGGTAATAGAGTGTTGTGTCGATTTTTTTTTTGTCACACTCTTCAGTAAGTCCATGTACCTGCACACAGATTGATGTCTGTCACCATTACCTGGAGTCAGTGGAAGTTAGGAATGGACACAGGTGCAGATTAGAAGCCAGAGTCCTGCACAGCATTGAGTAGATCTGCCTTGCACCTGGTTCTGTGCAGACCTTACAGATAAATGCTCCTGGTAGCGTCTCCTGAGCGCCTGCATGGTGGGGCTTATGAGTCATTTGCTTTACTCCTCAGCACCCTCATGGGCAGGCGCTGGAGAATTGGGGAAAAAAAAAAGATTTGAATTAGGAAAGCATCTACCCAAAGTCACGGCCCCTCAGGAGTGCACACCCCGCTCACTGCCTCTGTAGCCGTGTTCCTCCCTCATACAGATCTGCACTTCCAACTCTGAATGAAAGTAACACATGAGCTCTGGTTTCTGAGGTTAGAAGTGCAAGGGTATTTGGGAGAATGTCCACTAAAATATAGCCTCATTAAGTAGTGGATTGCCCTGGCTGTTTTAATATTTATACATTACATGATATTTTAGCATAAAATGACTTCTGTTTATAGTCATGAAGTGATAAAGCTTCCCTTTGAAAGGTGGGCGCTTATGTGGTGTGCCGTTAGGAGTTTATGCTGAGGATAGGATGCTGTGTGCAGAGGAAAGGTGGGCGCTCGTGTGGTGTGCCGTTAGTTTATCCTGAGGATAGGAAGCTGTGTGCAGGATTTTACAAACTGTTCAGTGGATGCAAGCTGAATGCCCAGCAGTAAGAGATCGTTAGTGATGCTAGGCAGTGCCCAGCACCATGGGTGTAAACTAGGAGATGGATGGCGTAGTACAAGGTGGGCCTTTGCCTGCAAGTGCCTCGAAGTGAGTGGTTACCTTGAGTGGTCCGCCTGGAGGTGACAGTGTTGGCACAGTGCTAGAACTTTGTGAGGGTCTAAGGCTACCCCTTGGTCCACAGGCTAACATGTTGGTTTGTGTGATAGGCGCAGGTCTGAGTGGACGGCAGGTGCACCGGACACAGGCCGTGTTTAACCACACTGAGGACTATATTTTGCTGCCGGACGAAAGGACCATCAGCCTCTGCTGCTGGGACTCTAGGACAGCTGAGCGCAGAAACCTGCTTTCCCTGGGCCACAACAACATCGTGCGCTGTATTGTGCACTCACCCACCAACCCCGGCTTCATGACGTGTAGTGACGACTTCCGAGCTCGGTTCTGGTACCGGAGGTCCACCACTGACTGAGCCAGCCCCACTCCTAGGGTTCCTGTCTCAGGACTCTGCCCTCCCTGTGTCCTGCCACCAGCTGCAGGAGTGAGCAGTTTGTACCATCTGGTGGGTGTGCCATTGCCTGGCTCCTGCCTTGGGTTTGAACGTGGAAGCTCTTTTCTTGACCTTGATGGAGAATTGTGGGAGAAGTTGGAGAACAGACCTATGCGCTTGTCTGCTGCTGTGATTCCGGTGTGCTTCCCACCGGCTCCATAAGTGCAGGACTTGCCATGGCTTTTGCCTGGTCCAGGAGAAGGACAGAACACTGGAAGTTCTTCGTGGCCCGCGGGGACTCTCACAAGGAGTGTCCTCCGGCTCTTTTGTGACCTCTTGTGCCTGCCCTGCCCTCTTTGTATTTCCTTTCCAGCTGTGTTTCAACACATGAGGAGGTCTGCAGCTCTGAGGACTTCAGTTTGGTGCCTTGTGGAACCACCTTGCAGGGTCCCATTCCCATTCTGAGGTGACGTCACCCTGGTAATAAAGCTCAGATCCAAAACCTCACTGTACCTTCTTCTTCACTTCAGTAACCTAAAGGTTTCTATCGCCCTGTCTGCCATTTCCTGCAGCATCCTCCTGGTACCAGCAAGGCTTGCCTCTCTGAACAGTAACCGGCCCATAAGCCCAGTAAAGTAGGATGATCAGGAACATAGGGCCTGCCTTGGCTAAATAGCAAGTTTGAGACCAGCCTGGGCTAGGCCTGCCTTTAATCCTGCTCTCGGGATGCAGAGGCAAGTGGGTCTCTGTGAGATCCTAGTCTGGTCTACATGGTGAATTCCAGGGAAGCCAGAACTACACAGTGAGTCCTTGTCTCTAAAAACAAACAGAATGGATGGGAATGGTTTGATGGGATACGTAATCAAAAATGTGTCCAGTCTAAGCCACGAGAGCCTACTAATGCCCCCAGCCTGACAGAAGCGTCTAATTGGGGTACACAGGGGAGCACGCTCTTGGGGGTTACTACCGTGTGCCATCTGATGCATTTCTCTCTTGAAGTGTCTGGAAAGCTGATGGGGTCTCTGTCTTGCTGCACGGAGATGAACCAGCCCTGTGAGCCTCCTGAAGAAGAATCCCTGGGGACCTGGGCAGTACCTGGGAACAATGAGCTCACTGATAGAGTCGTGACTAGGCCACACTAGGTCACTGCTGTGTTACGGGGACTCTGGCATAAACATTCTGCTCCAGCATCACCACTCGGGTGGGGGTTGGGTAGGCAGGGGTCACTGGGTTTGGGGTCACAATCCTGAAGAGCTGTATTTTTATATCCACAGTAAGTGTGAACTTAAAACGTTTATTTTGTGTTCTGATTCTCCAGCTTTGGAGCGTGGCCACTTGGGGGTGCTACCCATAAGATTATAAGAAAGCTACCGGCTAGGGCCAAGGGCAGCTGCTCTGCCCTGCTCTGCCCACAGGCTCCCTGCTCCTTCCTATGACTTCCCTCTTGCTTTCCTGCTGTGACAACACTACCGAGCAGAGGCTCGCCACTTCTGCTCCTGCCTGCACTCCCAGCACAAGCCAGGATGCTGTCCAGCACTTGTGAATTAAGATAATGCCACTTCATACAGTCCCCGGGCGAGTCTCAGTGCCTGTGGTTTCAATACTAACATTTACAAGATCAAAATTCTCTGTTTCCAAAGTAGTTTCCTCCCCTCCCTCTTGTCCCTTCCTCTCCCCTGCCTTTTAAAAGCCACGTTCACGTTTTTTAGCTCATGTAGATGTCAAGAACATTGCACAGACTTGGTGTTCACAGCTTGGTAATTGTGCACAACACCCCTGGCAGTTGAATGATGAGTTTATATCTGGTCAGAACAACCTATGTTATTTTTTAAAGATGTGACTTCTAAAATAAACATTTTTTTACGTAACAGTAACGTAAGCTGGTTTGTGTTTTTGGAGATTGCCATGAGCCTTCCGACACTTGAATGGCAGTTCTTAAGCCGTAAGGGTGGGCCGTATGTTTCACAGCCTGGAGCTTGTTCTAGAAGGCTTAGGTACATTTGTTCTTCTCTGAACAGAAAGGACTTGGCTATAGTTCCCTTCCTTCAGATCAGTTCAAGAAAACACTGCTTTGTATCTCAGTTTTCTTTAGAAAGGTGGTATGGGGCAGTCTGGTCTCTCAGCTCTGGCCCTGGAGGTAGTCACTGTTGTGAGCTGTGAGTCCTTTGGGTGCTCAGAGGCCTCCTTCAGTTCCACGCAGCTAGCACTTGAGCGAGTGGAGGTGTGGAGCACTGGTGTAAACAGGTTCTGGGCGAGGGAAGGCATTTGTGCTCCGACTTGTGAAAGTAAGTGAGCCACCCTGAGACTCTTGCCGCTCAAATGTGAGCAGAATTTATTCTTAAGCTCTAAATAGAGCTATCAAGAACACCAGAGAGGTCCTGAGAAACAAGAAAACATGCAGAGGTTAGTGGGGTTGGAGTCAGCAGCTATGCCGGCCTGGTGACCTTGTGAGGTCATGGGTTCTGAGCAGAAATAAAGCTTGGCTTCATGGGGTGGGAACTTGCATCAAGACCCAGAAGAGAAAATAGTAAAGGAAAGAATAAGATTGTTGTTTTGCTTTTTAAGTCCCAGAAAGTAAGGTTGAGTTTCAAGGTGCGCACGCGCGCAGACACACACACACAGTAAAAAGAACTACAAAGATCCACCTGCTCTGCACTAGTTGGGGTGTTGACAAGTGCGCAGGATGGGGTAGTGGGGAAGGCTCTGAGAGCCAGCCTGTTTACCAACTGTCCCTCCAGCCAATGTGGACCTGTTACCACTACCCAAACCACCTGGGAAATATAAAGCCATCTCCGATGAGTAAGCAGCCACAAGTGCCTTACAGAACAGCCCGAGTCACTGTGAGAATATCATCTGAACCCCAGTCCTCAGTTCTCCTAGGTTACAGGGTCAAGAGAGCTTACAGTCAGGATACAAGCCGTCGTGGTGCCAACTAGTGAAAGTCAACAGACCCGCAGTTAGAATTATCCATGCAAATGTATGCATATGCAGACTACATCCAAAGAGCAAAGACAAAGCAAGTTGGGGGCTAGCGATTTAGCCCAACTAGCAGAGTTCCTAACCTGGGTCCCAAACGCCACATCACACGAACCAGGCCTGGTGGCACACACTGCAGCCCCGGCACTTGGAAAGTGGATATAAGCCCAGATATTCAAGATCTTGAAGTGATACAGTCTGAAAACTTCAGGGTGTAAACCCTCTGTACACTGTTCCGCTCAGCTGTCTTTATAGTCCTGGTACAGTGTTGGAATACCACCAAACCCAGTAAAATTTACAGCTGAAAGCTGGGGTGGAAACCGTTGATGGGCATCGAACACAAAGGCAGCTGGCTTTCCTAAGATACCTACCTATTAGACCCTGGAGAAATGAAGTAAGCAAATCCACTAAGCCCAGAAAAGAAAACTGAGTCCAAAGTACTGTTCTCTAATGGCACGAGCCTGTAATTACAGCACTCAGGAGGCTGAGGCAGGAGCATTGCCATGATTCTGAGGCCATGCTGGACCAAGCTAGCCTAATTCCAGGCTAGCCTGAGCTAGTATGGGGCTGAGGAAAGAAAAAGTACTGTGTTGGCTCATCGAGAACATTAAGGATGTGGTTACAAGACGGGTGTGGCAGCATGCTTATAATCCCAGCACTTGAAGTAGCGGCAAAAGGATCAGGACCATCCTCTGGTACAGAGCAATGTCAAGGTCAGCCTCAGCAATAGGAGATCTTATCTCAAAAAAAAAAAATACAAGAGAAACCCAAGGTCCGTTACCCCACTCCTTGCCCACTACCAGAGGTTCTTGGCTCATTGTGTTAACTTCAGACTGTCAGGTATTTTGAAAGCACCCAGTTCCCCAGAATAGCCTGTTGTTGCAATACTTGCTTGTCAGCCTCGCTGGCCTTAAAATGCAGGCAGATTGCAGCAAAGTAGCTAAGGTACCATCTCAGACCTTCCATTCATAAATGAGTCAAACCGGGACCAAGAAGTCAAATGTGTTTACAAGTTACTGCCCTAGCCTCTTGTAGGAAGTAGCCCAACCCATTTCTTAGCCAGATTCCGTTTGTCCGATGTCTAAATGAGTTTCGATTTTGGTCTAGGCTGAGTTCTCAAGAACGTGACATATCAGTTACAGCGTCATAGTTATTCCATGAACCTGAGACATCCTTCAGTGTGGGAAAAGAGCATTGTCAGGAGCTTGCTAAGCTGATAGGAACCAACTTTCAATGTGAGTTACTAAGGCATCTTTCTCAACTTCAAATCCTATCACAGTTACTTTACTATGACCTTCAGCAAGTTTGTCCTTCCTTTTGTTTTTTGAGACAGGGTCTTTTAATGCGATGTCTTCGTTTTCACACAAGTATGTATCAGATATGCACATACTCCTTTTCCTCCCAGCCCTTCCTTTCATCCCCTCCACCTTCCTTTGCTCCTCCCTGTCCACATAGACCATATTACTTCTTTCCTTGTGTGTGTGTGTAAATGATTTTATATATCTATATAAAATCGAGGCGCCACAAATGAGAGAAAACATTTCTCTTTCTGAGACTGTCTCAATTCACAGTGTGATTAGCTATTGAATCCATTGTCTTGCAAATGGTATAACTTCGTTCTATGTAATGGCTGGAAAGAAGTTCCCATCCCCCTTTGTTGTTGGACGAGTAGGTTGGTTCCATGATGAAGCTATGGTGGTCAGTGCTACAGTACACAGTGGCATGCAAGCACTTCTGTGACATGTTGACATAGAGAACTTTGGGTTGATACCCAGGAGTAGCATGGCCGTGTCATGTACAAGGCCTCTGTTTAGTTATTTGAGAAGCCTCCATACTGACTTTCACAAAGCTAGATTTGGCATTCTCTCAGTCATGAATAAGGGTTCCCTTTGTCACATCTGCCATTAACATCTGTTGTCATTTGTTTTGTTTTGATGACTGTCATCCTGACTGGGGTGACACTGGATTTGGGGTTCTTTGGATTTGCATTTCTCTGATGGTTGGCTAGTGAAACTGGACATTTTTTCATGTTTATTGGCCATCTGTGTTTCATTCTTTAAGAACTCTGCCCAGTTCACTGATGTGGATGATTTGGTTCCTTGTTTGTTGTTGATTCTAGTCCCGGCTTGTCAGATGTTTAGCTAGCAGAAATTTTTTTCTCTGTGTGTACATGTGTGTACATGTACACGTGCATGCACGTGTATGTATGTGTGTGTGTGTGTGTGTGTGTGTCTATGTGTGTCTTTTGAGATTTGCCTGTCTGTGTCTCCTGAGCGCTGGGATTATAGGCAGATGTGACCACACCTAGCTCTTCTCCCTTTCTGTAGACTGAGACAGGATCTCACTAGTATTCCGGGCTGCCCTCAAAGCCTTTCAAGTGCTGGGATTATAGACAGATGCTGCCATGCCCAGCCTCCGTCTGGTTTTTGCAGGGAATCTCAAATGTATGCTGAAGTCAACAGTACAGCAGAGCTGTGGTTGCCAGGGTCTGGGAGGGGCATGTGAGGAAAGACAGCTGTTGGGGATGAAGTTTCCCTTCAGGGAGATGAAATTAACTTGGTAAAGGTGATGGTTTTACATCTCTAAATTTACTTTTAAATTTGATTTTTTTTTGTACCATAAAATAGTGAATTTGGAGGCTGGAGAGATGGCTCCACGGTTTGGAGTACCGGCTGCTCTTCCAGAGGACCTGAGTTCACGTCTCAGCACCTACCAAATGACTGCAAAGTCTAGGGCTAGAGAGATGGCTCAGCAGTTATGGGCACGAGCTCCTTTCAGAGGACCCACATGCTGACTCCTAACTAGCTCCAGTTCCAGGGGTCTGACACCCGCTTCTGACATGTGTGCCTATGCACACATGTGAGACAATACATACATAAAGACAAAGCACTCGTACATATAAACTAAAAAGTTATGAAAATTTAAAGTCTGTGGGGGTTGTGAGATGGCTCAGGGGGTGAAAGCTCTTGCCACCAAGCCTAAGGACCCCAGTTTGATACCCACAAGAGAGAACCAACTCCTACAAGTTGTCCTCTGACCTCCACATGCGCACTGTGGTATCTCTGCCATGCTGTTACAGAGAAAGAGCCAGAGAGAATTGGGCTTCTGTTGCTGCAATGAAACACCATAACCAAAAAGCAAGTTGGGTAAGAACGGGTTTATTTGGCTTACACTTTCACAGTGCTGTTCATTATTGAAGAAAGTCAGGACAGGAGCTTAAGCAGGGCCAAAACCTGATGCAGAAGCAATGGAGGGGAGGTGCTTACTGGCTTGCTCACCCTTCTTATAGAATCTAGGACCACCAGCCCATGAATAGCCCCACCTACACCATTAATCACTAATTAAGAAACTGCCTTACAGCCAGATCTTATGGAAGCATTTTTCTCAATTGAGGTTCACTTCTTCCAGATAACCCTAGTTTGTGTGTCAAGTTGATATAAGACCAGCCAGGACAACACCACACACACACACACACACACACACACACACACACACACACACAATGTTTCCTGTGCAATGAGGCCCAGTGTATCTACCACACAGACCCTTCATCATGACATGTGGTCTTTCTGTGGTCTCAGGGATCCAACCCAGGGTCTTTCACAAGCTAGGCATACACATCACCCATGAGCCACATTCCCAGCCCATCATGACCAATCTTGATTTACCCAAACATCCACACCTTTCCTGAATGACTGAAGCAAGATCTCAGATGCACTCCTATATAAACATTTCAATATATGTATTAGAAGGGCAGGGTCTTTGAAAAGCACAGTCAGCATCTGAAAACGGAATGTCGAAACAGCAAGGTCAATCACGCACAGCCAGTGTCTGCTCTTCCGTGCAAATATTCCCGAAAAGAAGTGTCAAGCGACTCCTTAGTCGCGACCAACACTTGACCAGATGGATTCAGCACCGTCCCCTGCCCAGATCCTTATAAGTAAAGGCACTGGGCTGCCACCCAGCTACAGCTACATCCTGAGACCGCTGTGGATGCGTGAGGGGACAACTGCCACGCGGCACACTCAGCCTGAAGGCTGGACCCCAGCCCCAGGTAATGGCTAAGCCTTGAGATGGCACTGTGGGTCTGGCCCAATCCCAGTACTCTGGAGTCTCGGGTTCCTGCTCTGCTCAACCTGTCAGTGTGTGGCAGTCACAAATGTCCACCAACAGGACCCAGCCTACCACCGCTATCCTTCCTGCTGTCCATCACAGGGAGCAGGAGAGAGACCTTGGCAGGGAGGACGGGCATCCCCACCACGTGTAAACCCACAGGGGGACCTGGGGTACCGGTTCCTGGGCTGGCCTGCAAGCTCCCCTCCGTTCTGGTTTCACGGCTTCTCCGGTGCTAAGAACTCCACCACAAGAAAGAAAAGAGGGGGGAGGGGCTGACAGTGTAAAACCAAGAGCTCTGGCTAGTGAGCATCGCACCAGCAGCTGCTGAAGGTGAGCTCTGCGGATCCTCTACGTGAATGAGAGAGTGCGCGTGTCCCTGTCACTCTCTCTCATTTGGCTAGTATTGGGTATTGGGCCAAATACTTCTTTCCACTCCCTTCCTCCTATTTCCCTAACAAGCAATATTTGGGCGTGGGTTTGGAGTTTCACGGACTTCTGTTTTTCTAGGAATGTTACTCACTCTCTGAAGATTTCTCAGCCCTCCTCCCCCCCATGTATTGTGACTCTTGTTTTAGAAATTAGTATAAGCCACAAGGGCTTTTAATTTGAGCTCAGTGTCAGGGCTTGAGCTGTAGCCCAGGTGGTAGAGTACTTGTGTAGCGTGCTCAAGAAGACCCTGCCTGGATTCGATCCCCAGCACCACACGCACAGGTGGTACACACCTGTAGTCTCAACCCTTAGGAGGTGAAGGCAGGAGGATCACGAGTTCAAGGTCCTCCTCAGCTACACGGAAACCATGAGCCCAGCCTGGGCTGTGCGAGACCCTATTTCAAAGAAGGAAAAGAAGTGGGAGGTGAGGGGGCTCTTAGAAACCATCAGGGCTTAAATCAATGGTGCAGTGACTGAAAGGCGGCTCAGCAGTTTAGAGGCTGGAAACCAGCTGGAACCGCAGTTCCAGAGGATCTAACGCCCTCTTCCGGTGTCTGGGGGCACTGCAAGCACCCGGTGCATTTATGTCCATACAGGCAAAACATGGTTCTTACTAAAATAAATAAATAAATAAATAACTGACACAAAGTCCCCTGCTGTGAGGAATCTCCAGTGCTCTGAATGACAGTCATGCCTTTTGATTCGTGACTGTATGCAGAGCAGTGGGGAAAGCTCTTCTGTATGCTGAGGCTGTCACCGAAGCCCCCCTCCCCCTCCTTGTGACTCAGGACTCCTCTGCAAGTGCTGGGTTTCCTTAATGGGAGCACGCACGTCCTCCTTCCATTGCAGCCTATGTTCTGACTCACGCCCACCCTTTTCAGATCTCGTCTTCCTCGTGAACCTTATGGGAACTACTCCGTCTTCCCTGTGGGCTTTGACACGGAATGCGTAACTAAGTCGGTTTCTTTTAGTTTGTTAAGACATAGATTCACACTGCAGCCCAGATTGGCCTAGAACTCCTAGGTAGCCCAGGCTAGCCTTAAAATTGCAGCAGTTCCCCTAGCTCAGCACTACAGGTGCAGGGATGACTGCAGCATGCAGTAGCATGCCCAGTTCTGAGTCCGCTGATGAATGAACCTGTCACTCTGTCTAGTCCTTGTCCCTTCCTGTTATCTGCCATCATATGCACGCTGCTGACTGCTTGTTCCTCGAACATAATTTCAAACAAGGATAGTATATTTACTTTCTTGTTTTTATCGTGCTTGTTTATCTTATCTGGGGAGGGGTTGCACATGCATGCCTGGTCAGCAGACAGCTTGCAGGAATTGGTTCTCTTCTGCTAGCGTATGGTTCCAGAGGCTGCAACTCAGGTTTCCAGGTTGGTAGCAAACAGCTTTACCCATTGAACGATCTTGCCTGTTCAATGTTTTTCAATTACTTTTTTTAAAATTTGAGACATGGTCTCACTCAGTAGCCCTGGCTGGCCTGAAACTTGCGTTGTGACTCAGACTATCCTTGAGCCCGCCTTTGCCTCCAGAGTGCTAGGATTAAAGATGTGTGCCACCACCCCTGGCTTTTCAGTTTCTCACGTTTTAAAGATAAGCCTTTGAAAAGGCAGAGCCCTGTCGAGAAACTAGCCAGTTACTTCAATTGTCAGTTACGTCCTGGCAATCAGGTGTGGGGACTGGGAGGTGTGGGGCACCCAGAAGAAACTGAAAGTTTGTAAAGAAAGGCTGGGCATAGTGGCACGCATTTTAATCCCACACTTAGGAGGCAGAAATAGGTGGGTCTTTCTGAGTTTACGACCAACCTGATCTATATAGAAAGTTCTAGTCCAGCTGGGAGGAGCTGCTTAGAAGATGGGACCCCTCACGCTTAGGTGAAATGGAAGCACAAGCTTATTTTGGCCTCTTCTGCAGAGGGGCTGCGCTCTGGATAGTGGGTCCTGGTTGGGGAAAGCTTTCAACTCGGAAAGTCTTGAGGACTGCACTGTCAGAATGTCGTCATCAGATCCCAGAGACAGCTGTGCGTGGGGCCGGGCCCTGGGCTCTTTCCATAGCCCACACTAAGATAACCCTCACCACCAGGGGTTAGAGTGAAGATGGAGGAGGGCCTGCGGTTCAGAGCAAGGATCTGTTTTTAAAGGAACACGAGAGAGAACTGTCTCCTGCGGCTCGACACTTACTGTTCTTATCCTCGATGTCACAAGGCGAGGGACAGGGGCAGGAAGGAAGGCATGCTGACCACAGCGGAAACGCAGCCACTCCGCCTCATCATGGAATTGCTTGGGCCCACTGGTTGGGAATTGTTCATAGTCTTCAAGGGACAAGAATGTGGTGTGATCCTACGCCGGGCTGCTCAAAGTAGGAACTTCACCTTGTAAAGCAGAAGGGTGGGTTTTTTTCGTGTGTTTTTTTTTCCTTCTTCTTCTTTTGTGGTTTTACATAGCAAATGAGTGTCAGCATCCACTTACAGATGAAGTGAAACGTCAGGCAAGGAGGCGTGAGGGTGACTTGTGTGCGCTTCTGGCCCCGCCCCTCTTATCCCTCTCATTTGACTCTCATTACTTGAAAGGATCTTCTCAACTGTTCCATGTGTTGGCAAACAGTTCCATAGAATCCAGCTGCTGGGAACCAGCCAGCATGCAGTGACATTGCATCATCGGGCTCTGGAGCCAGAGATATTAGCTGGAGAGCTCCAAGGAGCCTGCTCACATCACCGACATGAGAGGCACCAACATCAGAGAAGCTGCACCCAAGGTGAGTGACTGATGAGGCCCTGCGCGCGAGAGGCAGCAGTGGGCCTGATCACTTTTTATCTTTGCGTCTCCAAGAAGGTGAAGGATAAGCGTCGGGGGCAGGTGGGTTTGGAATGAGAATGTTTCTCTTTACCAGTTGTTGGCTTCGGGATGGCTGAAGATGACCGGGAGAAATCAGCGGGAGGCAGACAGCTCAAGCCTCCACTGGGTGTCTGTTCGCTACCCCGCAAACTTCGTTAGCAAGATGCAAAGCTCTGTCCCTGTCCATGCCATCTCTTCTCTCCTACCTCTGCATCCTGAGTGTGCTTAGTGTGGTCTAAGGATGCTGATTGGCTTGGGGGACTCATTTCCCTTGATCAGAGAGCGCCTAGACCTTGACTCTACGCTTGTTCAGTTCGGTGAGGATGCTCATGGGCTGCTTTCGTGTTCCCCTGGCTGCTGGGGACTTGAGCTTTGGTACAGGCTTCAAGTCTGGGCCACGAACCAAGAGACATTCCTCTGTAGCATGGCACACTGCTACCCTAAGAAGGGTACCGGGGCTTGAGACTTGGCTCAGTAGCTAAAGTACTCGCTATACAGGCATGGGGACCTGAATTCTGTACCCAGCACCCACATAAAAAGTCAGCCATGGAGGAATTCTCCTGTAACCCAGGAGATGGCAAAGGGGTGACGGGAAAGTCCCTGCAGCTCTCTGGCCAGCTTCCCTGAGACAAGCAACTCCAGCTTCAGACTCCAAAGTAAGGTGGGTGGGTGACAGAGAAGGATGTCGCGACATCTGGCTCACACATCCTTACTGCACACACACACACACACACACACACACACACACAGCTGGTGGGGGTAACCACAGGAAAATGACACTCACAGTTGATGCTTTTCTGTTCTGTCCTATCCTTTCTAAAATTTAATAGAATGATAAAGACAAAGGAGAGACAAAGAGACAGTCGCTAAATGGGGAGGCTACTTGCCAGAATTAAGTACCGGCTGTCACTGTGATGGTAACAAGTGTCAGCTGTGGGATCCAGGGCTGGGTTCCGTGGCAGATCCTTATGTAGATAACGTGTAAATATCTGAGCTGAGAATCTTGCCCTGTGGTTCACGCTGACATTTTTCAACTGAGTGGTTTAGCCAAGCCCCGCGTGTCTTTCACCCAAAGCCACTGGTTCCCGCGAGTTTCTCCCCCTTCGCAGGGCGTTGGGGGATCAGTAAGTCGAGGCAGCACAGGCTTTGTTCGCTGTTTTTGTTCAGCTGTCTGAAAATCAACAGCAGACCCTGCACTCCTCTGTCCAAGCTGGGGCTGTAGTGCGGCAGGTCGGGTGCCTGCGTCACAGGCAGAGCCCCGGGTTCTGTCCTCAGCCCTGGAGGCGCACACCTGTAATCCCAACCCTGGGAGACAAGAGGACGGGAGATTCAAAGTCATCCTCAGCCATGGCTACCCAGGCTTCACGAGACCCTGGTGCAAAACAACAGGAGATGCTTCTTCCCTGAGCACTTGAGCCTGTCCCTCCCATCACACTGATTCTATGAGCCCGCTGGAACTTCAGACCGTTGCCGTGCTCCTTCTCCAAGCACACGCTTTTCCACCATTTTGGCTGTGATTCATTGGTCTGTTTGTCCAAGCCAGTCTTCATTCTAGAACCACACATTGTACTCTCAGCCCGGTTTACGCGTCATTAATCTAGCATAATCCACTTCCTACTTTTCTGTCATGACTTTGTCAGTTCTATTTTATTTTTTCTGAACCACAGAGATGTTTTTAAGATCTGAAACTTGATTTTACTTTTGCACCAATTTCTTTCTGCACATTTTCTACATCATTGCACGATCTGTGGGCAGTGTGTATGCGTGCATGTGGCCCAACTGACGTCCTGGGCATCGGCGTGCAGCCCACCTGTCTGCTTGATGCAGGTCCCAGTAACTAACTGTCGCCACTCTCTGTGTGGGCACCAGGTCCCGCATCGAGCACTCTGGGTACCCTCACTCCCTCAGTGTTCCCTCACAGCCTTCCCATGAAGTAGCTGTGACTCTCACCCTCATCTTCCACATAAGGAAGCTACCAAACACCCAATGGATTATCAGTGACCCATCAAGTCAACCGGGCAGACTGCACCCAGCTTTCAGCCGGCTCACTGCGGTCTCACCTTAGACAAGGACAGTAAATTATGTCTATAAAAAGCCAGCTAGCGCTGGGGAGAAGAGGGTGTGGCCTGAACTGTAAGCTCTAGAGAAACTGAAGGGGGAGGACTGCAATTTCAAGGCCAGCCTGAGCCACATAGACCCTGACTCAAGAAACAAACAAGAAGCCAGATGGTGTTCTCGCTTTGCAGGTCCCGTGTAATGTCTGCTGCATTGTGTCCTATTCTTACAACTCTCTAGGAAACATGTACTGACTCTCAAACTCACAGACAGGTTATCCAGACTGGAGCTGTAATCTCAGCTCATCTAAGGCACCCATTTCTTTCCAGTGTGGTGGTGCCGAGTGGGGGCCTGGTCTTTGCCGCCTAGGTCAGAGGAGCCTCCAGCTAACTGTAAACTTCGTTTCTGGGGTATCTGTGTAAAAGCACATAATCACATGTATTTCTCTTCTCCTCTCTCTGCCCCACCTCTGTCCCTCCCCACTCCTCTCTCTGTGTCTTTCTCTGTGTCTCTGTCTCTGTCTCTGTCTCTGTCTCTCTCTCTCTCTCTCTCTCTCTCTCTCTCTCTCTCTCTCTCTCTAGGGTCTCAGCAATTAGCCCTGGCTGACCTCAAACTAGAGATCTATCTGCCACTGCCCTTCCTGCCCCTAGAGTGCTGGAATTAAATGCATGCACCGCGACACTCAATGTCATCTACTTTTCTCACGTAAATGAGCAGGAGCAGTGAGTTAACTTTGAAGCTTGTTGCTATTTGTAATATAATCATCATGTAATGTAATATAAGCAACGTATAACCTAATATAATCAACATATAATAGAATTCGCATATATATAATATAATCAACAATGTGCATTAAAAACCAGATCACATTGGTACAATTAATTGATCTGTGAATTGGTTTGGCCTCATTGTTTGTTGTTTAATTGTTTTGTTTTTTAAATTACACTTTTATTTATTTTGTTTGTGTGTGCATGTCTGGGGGTGGGGGCCAATGTCGCAGCACTATGTAACTAGAGGACAGAATCAGTTCTGGCCTTCTGCCACATGGGTCCCAGGAATTGAACTCAGGTCATGAGGCTGAGTAGCAGGAGTCTTTAACCACTGAACCATCTCATCGGCACTCGCTTGCTTTCTAAATAGGAGTGGTGCTTGGGAGGGTTCTGCTAGGGAAGTGGTCCTCTTCTTTAATGCATGTGACATCAAAACCCCTCACTATCATTCAAGACCACTTACCCAATCAGACCCCAAGTTCACATTTGTCCACTGGAGGAGGTGAATGAGCTGCTTGTATGCTGCAGCTGTGACTGTTCGCTGTTTTCCAAGACAAGGGGGACATGTAAAAACAGATGTGATATTAGCAAGAGGAGAGCCTGGTGACTTCAGCATCCACAGATGCAGAAGGGAGGCACCCGCGTGCACCGCCCCGCGGTGAACCCGCTGTCTCATTGGTCTCTTGGCTGACTCACCTCCACAGCCAGTCAAGAAGTGCTGAAAATGGCTCGGCAGGTAGAAGGTGCTTGCCACCAAGCCTGGCCACCTGACACACGATCAAAGGAGAGAACGCACTCCTGCGAGTTATCCCCTGCCCTCCACATGTGCACACACACGAGCACACATACAATAAACACACAGCAGACAGACGGACGGACGGACGGGCGGACGGGCGGACGGGCGGTAAGTTGTTTAAAGAAGTGCCAGGAGCTTGTTCTAAAGGACAGAAAGAGCTGCTGCGGCACATGCCTGTATTCGCGGCACCGGGGAGTCAGAGGCAGGAGGATCATCTGTTTGAGGCCAGCATCTGCTCAGAGGAAACCCTTGCTTCAAAGGGGGCGGGGAAGAGAAGGCACATAAGTGATTTATTGTAAGTGAGTTCTTATTTTGACCTCTTGGTGTTTCTGAAACTGCCCTGTTGTCTGGGCAGTAGATGGCACAGCCTGTGATCCCGGAACTAGGGAGGTGGAAGCAAGAGAGCCAGGAGTTCGAAGCCAGTGTGGGCGACCTGAGACCCTGTCTCCTCTTTCCCCGAAGACGTCTATGTGCTCACTGGTGTCAGAGGGATTTCCAACACATCTTTATCACTGAAAGTGATGGTGCTATATTCATCTCTAGGAGCATCTAACTTCTTATTATGGGGGCTTCTGTCTCAGGGGCAGCAGCTGTCTTTCCTCTCTACCCTCAGAAAGATCTGGGAAAAGACTTACAATGAAAAGCAAAGCCTTCAATGCCCATGAGGCTGGTTGGGAGGTGACCCAATGTGACAGACAACAAGGGCATGCCAGCCACTGGCCAGGATAAGGGTACTTTCAGAGGCTTTGTCTGTGAGGAGCAAGTTCAGCTCAGCCTGTCTTCACTGAGGTTGTAAGTCAGGATTCCACACACAGTGCCAGAAAACGTGCGTGCGCATGCGGTTCATGTGCCTGAAGCTGTAAGAGTCACAGGCTCAGCTGAGCCCACTCCTCAGTCCTTTCCTGCTCCCTCCTCCCTTCTCTCCCAGCAACCTATGGTGAATCCCCCATCAGGCCCCACCTAGAAGCCTTTTTGGAACTAAAT